TGATAACATAAATAAGTGGTGTATTCAGCAGCAGGTTCCTGGTGTCAGGTTGTGGAGAGCCTTGACAATAGCCTGTAATGTTTGGGCAGTCCATGGGACCACTGTGGCCAATGACTCAACAAGATGTAACCCATTCTTGGCACTAGGGGTTTCACTTGGTGGAGAAGGATACCAAGTTGGGGTATTGTCTTCCTCATTATATGGTGACTCCATTTAGATTACTTTCATATATGATTATGAATTAAGACACTTCTACCAAAGTGGGTTTCCAAATGGTCTTTCAAAATGCTTTGAGTATTAGTTCTCCCTCCCCATATTTGTTCTTTTACACTATTCTTCCATCCCCTTCTTCATTAATCTTCCTGGTATAGTTTCTACCTTATCTCTCCATAACACTAAATTCTTTTTCACCTTCCTTGGGTGACTCTCTTTTCTCCTTGGTAGCTAACTTCTGTGGCTGTTCAGGTTGCATCATACATATCTAAGACTTAAAAGCTAACAATAATTGTTGTTCTTAGTGCCTGTGCTCATGATGGTCTGTTAAGAAAGTCTTTTTCCTGAGCCAAAAAGCTATTCTCAACTTTCTCCTCTATAAGACTGTGAGGTCTTATGTTGAGGTTTTTGATCTACTTGGAGTTGAGTTTTTCCACAGGGTGATAAACATAGATCTACTTAGATTCTCCTATATTCTCTCATTTAGGAATATAATCTTATGCTCATCCAGTTTGAGAGCACCATTTGTTGAAGATGCTGTCTTTCTCCTCTGTATATTTCTGGCTTCTTTATTTGAAAATATCAGGTATCCATAAGTGTGTGGTTATATATCTGGGACTTCAATTTGATTCCATTGATCAATGAGTCTGTTTTCATGACAATACAACACTTTTATTCACCATAACTCTACAATACTAGTTGAAATCTGGGATGGTGAGACATACAGCATTATTTTATTATTCAGGATGTTATAGCTATACTGGGGATTTGTGTTTCCATGTGAAATTGCATTTTTTTTTATTTCTGTGAAGAAATGTGTTGGAATTTTGATGGAGATTTCATTGACTCTGAGGTTACTTATGATAGGAGAGCCATTTCACAGTATTAATCTACTGATTAATGAGCATGGAAGATCTTTCCATCTTATGGTGTCTTCTTCAATTCTCAGATATATCACATCTTAAATTTTTATTTGGCTTTTGCTTTATAATAGCATATGAATGTACATTTATATATATTGAGGTGCATGCTTCAATAGTTAACAGTTTTTTTTCTTTAGTTCCAATTAACATAAGTTCCACAAAGTGGAGTTTTTACTTCTCAGATTACATGCTACTTTAATGTAATGTATTTTCTTATTAGCATTTTATATCATATGTTTCTTCTTCATTATTGCATTTTCTCTTTTTTATTGAATTCATAGTTAATGGGATCTATTTCCTTGGATTCATTTATAGTCATTAACTAACTGAAATTTTAACAGAAATGTTTTTCATTTATCATAATTATTTTATGTACATTTCTACTATACTTGATACCCATCTCATAACTACACAAATATTGCAGGGATAGCCAGAAACATTTTTTTCTTCACCCATTTTAAAAGTTACTTGCCAGCATGGGGATCCCTCCTACTTTACTATGTGTTTCTTACAGACCACCAACTCCCTTAGCACAGTGTCTTTCCTAGAAATGAGGGTTTTCTTCATTATTATACACAAACATCCATCAAATTCAGAAATCAACATAGTTCTTCTCCAGCTGTGCCCACTGTATTTCAGGATCACAAATTTCATCTGATCATCATCTCCCCTTAATTCCTTTCGAACTGGATGCACTCTTTTGAGACCCTACTTTGAACTATGTGATCTTGTATTAAGTTGCTGTTCCATGTTCATGGTTGGAATGACTTAGAGACTATGATTTTCTTCTTCCCAGGGCTTCCTCCAGTTCAGTATCATCCCACACAGTTCCAGTTTATCACATTAGCAGTCACATTCATAGGGTGTCTTTTAAGCTCATTCTTCAATGAGTTGAGAGCAAACAAAGCTCTCAGGCAGGACTTTCTTTTTGTCTTGACCCAAGTGGGTTCTACCAAAAATGTTCATTACTTCATCTACTTTTTTTTTTTTTTTAAAAAAAAAAGGCAGCTCAAATATTTTTTGTGATAAATATAATCCTCCATATCTGGTTTGCAAATCTTTCACTTTTGACTGCCTCTGGATTTTCTCAGAAAGCACTCATAGTAACTAATAGTTTAAAAACTGAGTGAGTAACACACTTAGCCATGCTACTCCAAAGTCAGTATCACAGCCTGGTGGGAAGTTAAGACAGTTCATAAAAACACCACAGCTCTAAATGGGGACAGAGGAGGAGTCGAAGGGAAGGGGTCGATAGGAGATGGGAGGGAGGAATAGGGGAAAACTGGTCAGTTTGTAAAATAAATGGAAAATGCTAATTAAGTAAAAAAAATTAAACACCACTCTCTGCCTCTCTTCTTTCCCAGCCATGAAATGAAGACACAGAGTGTGTCTTGCTATCACTGGAGTACTGAGGATTAAGTTCAATTGTACAAATGAAAGAAAATCTATGAGCTATAAAACTTTCTACATGTATGTCATAACATACCACTCTACACTTTTTGGTAGTCCCAGAGACAGCTACCATTTATTAACTGTTCTCTCCCATCTCCCTCTCCCCCCCCCCCAGATTCCATGGTTGTTCATAGGGCCCAACATATACCACCAACCAATCTCCCTGACATTGAAGGTTAAATTCGGCCCCCAATCTCACAGATAACTGGAAATCCAAATTCAGGTATGTCAGATTTCAAGACCTGTCCACTTAATCAGTGTCCCACACTCTGTTCTAAACTCTTTGCAGTAGTCTGAGGCTTCGAACTACAGATGGAGAAACTGACCTGAAAATTTTCTCATTTGCTATGAGCTGCTGGCAAGCCTTTATGTTCTTGGCTCTATATTTCCCAACATGGAAAGCACTTTACTTTCCAGAGAGGCAGAAATCTCTTCATTCACTAGTGATCCTGAATTCACATTTATCTACCAACACTACACCATCTTCTGAAAGTAGTTTAGTCTCTTCTCCCCTTCTCTCCTCTCCTCTCCTCTCCTTTTCCTTCCCTCCCCTCTCCCCAACCTGGGATACTTCTTATATTTTCATAAGTGTTTCCTTTTGCCTCTACCACTAGGTGAGAAATAATTAATTCAATTGCAAAGGATTAAAATTTTTAGCCTCTTGCAAAGTTAAGTAGGCATTCAGGTCAAGGAAAAGATCTCTGCAAGGTAATGTTTAATTAGTAATGTATTCCTATGAATTGTTGCTACAAATACAGACTTTCCCCTTTCAGTTTTTTTTCCAAGTTTATTTTAGCAGTCACTTCTCAATTATTCATGTACAAAATTAATGATTTGACAAGTGATTGTTATGGATCTGAATTTAGACCAAAATTATCAAGGGTGGTGATGAATAACACCTTATGAATTAGGTATTTAACAACACTTGTGAAATGTTTTTACGAGTGTATTTATTTTAAGTTCCTATAACTGTGATTGCTGTGAAATGCTACCTGCTAATGATGAATGGAATAAAGGGCAGATGCAAATGCAGCTTTGCAGAGTGATAAATGGTCAGCACAGTTCCTACTAACTCAACAGCATGCATGTGCAGTTAACATTCAGGAATTCACACTTGCACTACATTGCCTGCTAAGCATTTAAACACAAATTGGATTATTCCCCCAAAGTACATATGACATGTTGTCCTTGCAGAATACATCACTATGGATAAAGTTTTCAGTTTGGGAGGCTTTTTGGGGTGTGTGTGTGTGTGTGTGTGTGTGTGTGTGTGTGTGTGTGTGTATTTTGTGAAGTCTATGTCTGCACAAATTTATGGAGCTCAGTGGTTAAGCTAGACTTAGTGGTCAGCTAGCTGCAGGGATCTGCCTGTCCCCACCAGTATTGAAGTTACAAACACAAGCCACCATGCTCAGCTTTTCCTATGTGGGTTCTGAGGCTCTAAACTCAGGTCTTCATTTTACTTACTAAGCCCAAGTTTGGGTTTTCTATCTTAATTTTCCTCTTCCCAGTTTATTTGATTCCATAAATACCTTCACATTTACCCAAAAATTTCATAGCCTTTTGTTTACATTCTATTTTAAAAGTTATTTTGAGCATATGCAATATCTTCAGTCAATTCCTTCTTAAAGTGTCATGAATTAAGAGGTAGGTAGATGTACATTATCCTCATGTGTTTAATATGCTAGTAGTTGATTCTCAAGGGAAATATCTTTGCAAAAAATGCTGGAAACTAACTTCCTTGTTGTTTTAATATAGTATAGAAAAATTAGCTTGCTCTCTTAGATTTCACTCTAAGTGATTCATTAGGGATTTCATTCTTAGCAATTAATGGAGATGGGGGAGACAAGACACTGACAAACAGAATTACTACCTATGGAACTGTCTCCAGTTCTGGCTACAAACACAGAGGTTTGTTTCTGCGGCTAAAGCCACTTCCTTTGTCAGAGATCCAACAGGTTGGAGTGAAGTGTGAAATACTGTTTGACACGCTACCGGGAGATTTTGTTTCCCGGAATTCTGCCTGTCTTCTAGAAAATAAAAGATAGTTTGAAACACATGCTCTCATAAAGCTACTAAGAGATATAATACTCTGATTCTGTGCATCCTCCCCTATCTTGCTAGCCCTCTGTCGTGTAATTAAAAGACTAAATTTTGTTGCCACTTGTTCTGTTGTAAGGACTTAAAAAGACTTTGATATAAGGGATAATGATATCTTAGTTTCCAAAGTACTGAAAATGCAATTCAACTGGTAAACGTGAAGCCATATTAAAATTTTGGAACAAGAGTAGAGCCACTCAATTATCCTATCTATATTGAGGTTGAGTTGATCTTCATGGAAACTTTAGAATAGTCTGTATGAAGAATGCCCTTTTATCCTGCCTTGACAAAATTTTTACTCTTCCCTCCAAGGTATCAGATCCACACAGGACTCCAGCATTCTATCATCAGACCTACCCAACCCAACTGTCTACCTCTAGACAATGCAACCCTACCTCAGAAGCTAAAGGAGGTTGGCTATTCAACTCATATGGTTGGGAAATGGCACTTGGGGTTTTACAGGAAAGAATGCATGCCCACCAGGAGAGGATTCGATACTTTCTTTGGCTCCCTTTTGGGAAGTGGAGATTATTATACACACTACAAATGTGACAGTCCCGGGATGTGTGGCTATGACTTATATGAAAATGATAATGCTGCTTGGGACTATGACAATGGCATATATTCAACACAGATGTATACTCAGAGAGTGCAGCAAATCTTATCTTCTCATGACCCCACGAAGCCTATATTTTTATATGTTGCCTACCAAGCTGTCCACTCACCACTGCAAGCCCCTGGCAGGTACTTTGAACACTACCGATCCATTATCAACATAAACAGGAGGAGATATGCAGCCATGCTCTCCTGCTTAGACGAAGCAATCCACAATGTGACCCTGGCTCTAAAGAGATATGGTTTCTATAACAATAGTATTATCATATACTCATCAGATAACGGTGGACAACCCACCGCAGGAGGAAGTAACTGGCCTCTCAGAGGTAGCAAAGGGACATATTGGGAAGGGGGCATCCGGGCAGTTGGCTTTGTGCACAGCCCACTTCTGAAAAACAAGGGAACTGTATGCAAGGAACTTGTGCACATCACAGATTGGTACCCCACCCTGATTTCTCTGGCTGAAGGGCAGATTGATGAAGACATTCAGCTAGATGGTTACGATATCTGGGAGACCATAAGTGAAGGTCTTCGTTCACCCCGAGTGGATATTCTGCACAACATTGACCCCATTTACACCAAGGCAAAAAATGGTTCCTGGGCAGCAGGCTATGGAATCTGGAACACTGCAATCCAGTCAGCCATCCGCGTGCAACACTGGAAGCTGCTCACTGGAAATCCTGGCTACAGCGACTGGGTCCCCCCTCAGGCTTTCAGCAACCTGGGCCCAAACCGATGGCACAACGAGAGAATTACCTTGTCAACCGGCAAAAGTATCTGGCTTTTCAACATCACGGCGGATCCATACGAGAGGGTAGACCTATCCACTCGGTATCCTGGCATCGTGAAGAAGCTGCTGAGGAGACTGTCACAGTTCAACAAGACCGCAGTGCCGGTCAGGTACCCCCCGAAGGATCCCAGAAGCAACCCTAGGCTCAACGGGGGAGTCTGGGGACCGTGGTATAAAGAGGAACACAAGAAAAAGAAGACAAACAAAACTAAGGCTGACAAAAAGCGAAAGAAAAGTAAAGCTAGGATGAGAAAACAGCTGACAGTGCACTCTTCAACAAAATGCCACCCAAGCGTTACCGCTGGCTAAATGCAAGACTTTCAGACTTGGTTAAGCTTAAATCTCCTGGTTTCTACATAATTCGGAGAATTTGCCTCAGAAATACCACTGCCCGCCGCCTCAGGCTTATTTTCTCTTTGCTCTCTGCCAGCAGCTCCTGGCACCTGGCTGCCACGTGGACAAAACCACCCTCCTGAGTGCCAAAGGCAATGCTCCTGCAGGCTGTTTATTCCTCTCTAGCCTGTGAATAACTAGTCAGTTGACAAAACAGAGTGCTTTGACCTGTAGTTCTGTAGTGGACAAGAGCGCTAACCTGATGGAAATTTCAGGGTAACATGATTAAGGATGACTATTGATAGAGTCAAAGACTGTGTTACCTCAAACGCCTAAAAACAATATTTCTAAATAAGATTTTATTTTTATCTGTAGCATATGCAACTTGGGTTTTTAGACTAATTCTATTTTGTGTTGTCATTGCCTCTTCTCTGAGAAAAAGCTGCTTTTCGTAGGTGGACAGCTTGCATCTCATCGTGCTTGATGAAAGAGAAGACAATGTCTGATCGTTCTCGGGAATGAATGTAACCATGTCACAGACATGTTAATAGAACAATAATTTCAGCAAAAAGTGCCTAATTTATTTTTCAAAAAAGTTATGCAAATGGTGTTAATTATTTTATTTTTGGTTTCTAAGTAGGAATTTTATTTCAGTTCTTTAAAGTTACTAAACACTGTAATGCCATAAATGACTGTAATATCATGTTGACTGTAATAACCTGTATGTTCATAAAATATAAAAGGAAAGTCATTCAGAAAAAAATTACAATCATCAGTTTTTCACCATCATTTGAATGTAAGGCAAATATATTTTTAAAATTTTATAAATTCGTTATTGTACACAATTGGTTTTACTTTATCATTTCCACCATGAACTATTTATGCATATTAATTATTAAAGTGATTTTATTTTATAGCATTAGTGTGGCTTTCCAAATTTTATTATTATACTTTCAGATATGATTATATTATTCATTTTGACAAACACAAATCTTCTTAGTGTTTTTACCTGCCCAGTCTGGCCTTGCATTTGTAATTACAGGTGTAAATCAGAATGCCAGGCAACAGGCAAAAGTCTTTGCAAATAGGCATTTGAAGGGATGGTATGCTAACATGGTAATAAATAAATATTTGCAAATGAAGAGACTTTTTTTCTCATATGCATTGAGAACAATGTTCTGTTATTGATAAGATATATATATATATATATATATATATATATATATATATATATATATATCTTCCTCCTACATAAAGTACAGGAAAGGAAAAAATAGAAATGGAAGACACAGATGATCAGAGATCTAGTTAAAAATCTGCCTTGGAACATGAGAAGATTAAAGGATTACTTGAAGTGAAGCTAATCACAGGGCTGTAGAGCAGCAACTGTTACATGCAGCCACGGAGCTTTCTTTGACATGCCCTCTCTTAATGCAGAAGCTAAGGAGTCACACTTGAAAAGCCACAGACAGGAGAAACTGAGGCCTGTAAATGAACAACCACAATAATATAGTTGCTGGTGATAGAGGATGAGGGTGGGACCTGCACCATTTACCATGAAAATGTGAGAAAGCAAGCACTCTATCGACTAAGCTACATCCCTAGCTAATGGAGAGGGAACTAGGAGAAAGAGAAGGGGAGGAGAGGAAAGCAAATGTGACTAGGAAGATTGAATCAGGGTAGGAATAGAAGACAAAAGAGCTCTAGAGAAGAGAGAGAGAGAGAGAGAGAACATAAAAGAGGGAGCCATTATTGGTTTGAAGAGAGAACTGAACCTAAAGAAATGTCTAGAGACCTACAAGATTGACTCCAACTAACAATTTGAGGAACAGTGGAAAGGCTACCATAAATGCCCTTCCCTGATATTGAGATCAACAACTAACTTATCCACCATTATGGAGCCCTCATCTAATACCTGTTGGAAACAGAAGCAAACACCAATAACTAAACACTGAGTTGAACTAGAATCTAGATGCAGAGAGAGAGGACAAGACCAGGTTGCAGAAACACATAGAGACAGCTGATCTGAACAAGGAGGAGCTAACGGCCCCCCAGACTGATAGCAGGGAAGCCAGCATGGGACTGACTCAGACCCCCTGAACATGGGTCTCAGCTAGAAGGCCTGAGCAGTCTAAGGGACCTCGACAGTGGAACCAGGATGTATTCCTGGTGCACAAAAGGACCTTGGGAACACATCCCCCATGGAAGGATAACTGCCTTAATCTAGAGACAGAAGTCCTAGTCCCTACTTCACATGACTTGACAGATTTACATGACCCCATCTGGATGGCATAGCCTACATGTGAAGTGGGGGTGGGGGGTGAGAGGGTAGTATAAGTATATAAGACATAATAAAGGTCTCAAAAACATGAACCAAAGGGGACATCCTCATTCAAACCACAACAATGATCTTGAAATTCTGACCTGTAGTGGGATATTCACTTTGTCTCCTTCTGTGCCACTGACCACGCCTATTGGGGGTGGAGCCAGGGGTGTAAATGACCTGTGGGAGGAGGTCTGAGGAGGAGCTGGGAATGCTCTCTTGCTGGCAGGACATGGAGAGGAGAGCATCCGGTGGAACTTGCTGGTGTTATCTGTCTAGGTTGTAAGTTACTTCTCCCTTAATAAACATCTATTCGGCCTATTTGTTTATCCTGATCTTTATTAAAGTGCAATACTGACCACCCTTCCTCTACTTTCCAAATGCTGGGATCACAGATGTGTGCCACCATGCCCAGCTTATTCTTCACAGTCACATAAGTTTCTAGAACTGTAACAACTTGTTGCTAGGACAGAGTGTTACAGTAAATGCTCAGCAAGATAGTCAAATAAAATCAAGAACAAACTTTATATCATCTTTATTTCCACACAACACAGAACATTGCCTTTCTAACACAGCTTTGAGTATTACAGAATGAGCTGCCTTCATAGCAATCTCCATTGAAATACAGAAGCTAAATGGTTTATGGTTCAAAACTCTGTGGTTTGTCACAAAGCTCTCCAGATTGACAGACTACAAATTCTGTTTCTGGAAAAGATGGGCTTCTCTCACCCATCTTACTGGTAGGCATCTGCGTAAAGTTGATTCATTGACTGGATATGATGCTAGTTAAAGCATGGAATAGGGGTGTTCTTTCAGGAAGTCAAGCAGACTAGACCAGACTTACCCAAATCCTGATTGCATTTCTCTGATGGGAAGTTCCCTTGCTCTCAAATTTGCCACAATCCTTTCACAGTCTCTGTCAACTGGCAAATATAATTTCAAGGAACAAGAAATCTTCATGTTTAAATGAAACAAAAATTGATGAAGGCTCATTAGAAATGTCCTGCCTACACACTCACTTCCTTCCTTTTTTTTTTTTAACTGAAAATTAAGTGGAAAACATGCATTTCACAAACCAAAAGTAAATTTGTCTTTTGAATAAACATCCAATGTGATAAATATCAATGTGATTATGTCATTGGATCCTCCTGGGATCAATACTTTTGGAATTAAAGTTCCTTTCATTTTGAGCACTAAGAAGTGCCATGAACTGACACCCTGAACAAGTATGGAAGTCAAAGAGCATTAGAAGAGGTTTGCCTGTGCTTCTCAGGGTGTCCAAGAGTGAACTATTGGTCTATTTAACCGAAGAAACATACTTATTAGTTATGTTCACAAAAGTATTCAGAGAGTGAAGCTGTGCCAGAGCAATGTGATGAAGAATACCCATCCCCCTTTCTACAGGGAAGGGAGAAGGCAGAATGAAGACAGTCAGGGGACAATGGTAAATGATATATAGGAGAATCAATGGGCTCAGAGACACTTTGAAGAACAGAGTCTATTGTGCCCACAGAACAAAGAGTTGCAAATAATTCTCTTTGGAAGACTAGAATAAGTAGGATCAAAATAGCAGAAAATATTGTGTTTCAGTAATGCATATGTAAAGGTATGTATGCAAGAACTTATTCTAAGACTAAGCAGGCTGTAGTTACATTTTATTAGTATGTATATATCATATGTATTTAAAGAAAAAGAGACCATGAATTTAAGGAGTTGGGGAATATAGGAATTGGAGGGAAGAGTGGTAAATTATGTAAATATAATATATGTATATATTTTATAATATATTTGTACACATATAACACACATACATATAATTTCAAAAGTAGTTTTAAAAGTACTTCAGTCTTACCCATTGAGAGAGGAGTTTAACTAATGGAAACTCAGGGAAGAACCACAGATAATTGTCTTCATCCTTGGCAGATCAATATTTTAGCAAACAAATAGACATCATGGTAAAGCTTCCTACATCTTGTAGGCTATCACAGTCAAGCTCCTTCATTCATCTTGTGGGCTATCACAATGAAGCTCTTCCTACATCTTGTGGGCTATCACAATTAAACTCCTCCTTCATACATCTTATGGGTTATCACAGTGAAGCTCTTCCTACATCTTGTGAGTTATCACAGTAAAGCTCTTCCTACATCTTGTGAATTATCACCTTGAAACTCCTCCTGACATTTTGTGGGATATCACAGTGAAGCTCTTCCTACATCTTGTGAGTTATCACAGATAAGCTCCTTCCTACATCTTGTGCTCTTAATATCTTTCGCCTGAAGCTGTCACCATGTGAGTTCACTATATTTAAAAGTGACAGTGGAATTGTTTATATGGTTAGAAAAAAATATTTTATTAATTTTTTCCATGTCTCTGACACCAAACATCCAGAATATCCCTTCCAGGAGAAATAGCTTAACATCAGTCATGGAAACTCGCCATCTCTAATATGAGCACTTGGTGTCATTTGTAGCATCTCCTGGTAGGAACATTCCTTTCTAACATACATAGAACAGAGTAAGCACAGTCTTTAATTAATTTTTGCTGGGCATTTAGATTTAATATCAGCAGAACAATGTTATCAATTATTTTTCTTTCCTTCCAAGTTTTGCTGAAAGCTACAGTTTCAGATATTAAATTAGAGCTGCCAAGGTGTCCTGCTGTATCTCAGCTGGCTACAGGGCAAGGGGAATTAAGTAATGAGCAGGATGAAGAAGACCCACTTTTAACTATAATTTGACTTGTGCTATGTAGTTCCTGGCATCCACACTGGACTCAAGCTGTGGCTTTCCCCATCTCCCAAATAATTGTTATTCCAGATTCATCAGCTGTTCTTGTACACCAGTCCCAATACTCC